TCTATTCTATTCCTTATTCTATTTTATTCTATTCTATTCCTTATTCTCTATTCTCTATTCTAATTCTATTCTATGGTTTTTTTTTTCTTGTTCTTGAAAACATTTTGCTTCTCATTCCAGAAGCTTCTTCAGTTCTGAGACAAAAATTCATCCTAGGCAGCGGAGAACCAAGAGGCAGTCTACAGGCAGTCCTCGAAATAGGACCGCAATGGAGCCCAAAATTAATGTGGCTAAGCGAGACATTTGTCAAGTGAGTTTTGTGCCCCATTTTACGACCGCGCTTGCTACAGTTGTTAAGTGAATCTTTGCTTCCCTGTTGATTTTGCTCGTCCGTAGGTCGCAAAAGGGAATCACTGCAACCGTCGTAAATACGAGCCGGTTGCCAAGCGTCTGACTTTTGATCACGTGACCATGGGGATGCTGCAATGGTCGTAAATGGGGAAAACGGTCATAAGTCACTTTTTCCAGTGCTGCTGCAAGTTCAAATTGTCACTAAATGTAACTGTTGTAACTCAAGGACTATCTATATCAATTGCAGGAGGCCTCAGGGAAAGACAGAGGCTGCCCTCATATGGGTTCCTGGGAAAAAAGCACGCTTTGCTAGGCGGCCTGGTAACCCCTAAATGTTTGGGGAGGCGGCTCCCATCATCCTTTCCCGGCTGGGGCTGATGGGAGTTGGAGTGAAGGATGTTTGGAAAGCACCCAGGGCTGACCTTCTCCTAAGCTCTCCAAAAAGGGAGGCCGCTGCATGAATCGTTCCCTCATTGGCAGAGCCTTGGAACATGGCTGGGACTACAAGACCCATCATCCCCTTCAGACAGGCAAGCTAGGTTGTTGTAGAGTGTGGGTGGGGCGGATTCAAATGCAGGGGAAGGAGGGCTTGGGTGCACTTTGGCCAGAAGAGCAAGAGGTTTCCCACACACACACACACAACCAAGGGAGGCCGCTCGGCTCAGGATGATGGGTGGTGTAGTGCTCCGCTTGGCAAGGTCGGTCTGGTGCCCTGCAGAAGGGGAAGCCGTGGGGTGCAAGGCGTGCGGGGGGGGGGGGGGGGGGGGGGGGGGGGGGGTCGCCTACCAAGAGGGTTTCTTTCCTTAATAGACTCTGTTTCATCCCTGCTTCATTCTCTTTTGAACTTGGGGCACCCCCCC